CACCCTGGCAGAAATGTGACCCTTGGATTTACTCAGAGTTACCCCTCAAATGGCAGGGCTCCCCTGCTTTCTCCCTTCTCAGGGTCAGGCACTGTCAGGGAGCCCATTATAATTTTCCCTTTTTTTCCCTGTTTCTCCAGCCTTTTTAGTTGCCTTTTACATTTATTTTACTTTTTTGGTTTCTTTTGAATACAGAGGACTCCTACTATCCTATGTACTTAGTTTTCCATGTGTGTTTCCCTTCCTATATTAAAATTGAAGTTCTAATTCCCCATTAGCAAGACACATTTGTTTTTCATGACAGAATTAGTGATGTATTTGTACCAAACATTCACACGTTTACTAGCCCTCCCTGTGTCCAATGACATTTGTTTGTAAGGTAGCTAACCCATGTTTGGCAGTGGCCAGAGTTGGTGGAACAAGACAGACAAATCAGTCTCCTAGGGCCTGAGTTTATAAACTTTGAGAAAGAAAATCGTCTAACTTGAAGCTTAAATTTTCCCATCCCTGAGAATGATTCTGGTACCTTTTATAAGCTTTCTAGATAAGATTCTGATTGAAAATCCACTTGGCCTTCCCTTTGAGATCACACCCACTCTGGGAAAGTAAGCTTGACAATTCTGACGTGTGTTCACATTCCCATTGCAGGCTGTCACCTTGAACTGTTCCCACAGTTTCTGTTCCTATTGTATCAATGAATGGATGAAGCGGAAGGTAGAATGCCCCATTTGTCGGAAGGACATCAAGTCTAAAACACCCTCCCTGGTTCTGGACAATTGCATTAGTAAGATGGTAGATAATCTGAGTTCAGAAGTAAAAGAACGACGAATTGACCTAATTAAGAGACGAAAAGGTGAGTGCCCTCAATGAAGGATTTACAAACTGGGGGAGAGATTCAGATGAAAGATTCTTAAGCTAAAGATGATGTGGAAGAAATGGGGAAAGTAAAAGGAGTTAAAGATAATGTGTGAGAAAGAGTTGAAGTATCATTCACTCAGTTACTTGCTCACAAGGGAAAGGGGGAGGCTTAGTGTATGTGCCTTGGTTATAGTTGTAAAAAAAGATCTGATTAGAAACACATGGTCAGACAGTTTGCTGTACTGACCACTAGGAGGTGCTGTTGTTCAAGACAGTTTAGTTGCTGTCCAGGTGTTGCAAAACCCTTGGGTTGGGTGTACAGTCAATTATATATACGATGCGTACAAGTCAGAGATTCACAACTTGAATACCTGAAGAAAACACATATACAGATTCTCTCTATAAGAGCCAGAGCTTGCCCTAGCTGGTTTGCTCAGCAGTTAGAGTGTCATCCTGCGCACTGAAGGGCCCTGGGTTCAGTTCCAGGCAAGGGCATGCACCTCAGTTGCAGGCTCAATCCCCAGCCCTCGTCAGGGCTTGTGCAGGAGGCAACCAATCTATGTGTCACTCTTACATTGATGTTTCTCTCTTCCTCTGTCTCTCCCTCCCCCACCCTCTCTGAAAATTAATGGAAAAAAATATCCTCAGGGTGAGGATTAAAAAAAAAAAAGTCACAGCTTAATTACCCACATTAGACATAATGTTAAACTAGAGATGGGTAAACTTAATCCTACTGCATTTTCATTGGGGATCCTAATATATTTCCCAAAAAGTCTCCCAGTTGGAGGGAATTTGGGTAAAGAGATAGGGGAAGCCCAGTTTTGCTCAATGGTTAGAGCATTGGCCCACGGACGGAAGAGTCTTGGTTTCTATTCCAATCAAGAGCACATACCTTGGTTGCAGGCTCGATCCCCAGCCCCAGTCAGGGTANGGACGGAAGAGTCTTGGTTTCTATTCCAATCAAGAGCACATACCTTGGTTACAGGCTCGATCCCCAGCCCCAGTCAGGGTATGTGCGGGAGGCAACCAGTCAATGTGTCTCTCATCAATGTCTCTCTTCCCCTCCCCACCACTCCCACCTTCCACTCTCTCTGAAAAGCAATGGAAAAAATATCCTCAAGTGAGGGTTTAAAAAAAAGAGAGAGATTGGGGAAGGGATGGGTAAGTTTTCCTAACGAACCATGCTTCCATAGTGAACAACTGCTTACTTAATCAAGTGATCTCATCACCCCTGCAGCCTGCTGTGTTGGGGTTGCAAAGCCACTCTGCTTAAGACTTGAATGTCCTTTGGCAAAAGGATATGTCCTTGGCAAAGCACAAGGAACTTAACACATTGTTTGCGGGTAGTTTTCATCGCGCGCTCTACTACCAGTCAAAGTAAAATGTATAAATACGTTTCCTGCATACAATGTGTTAATGGATAAGAAGGATTGGTCATTGCACAAGGATGAGAGTGCATAGAAGCAGTGTGGATTTGATTATCACTTTAAGTCCCTGTAATAATTTAGTGTAGCACTGCCTTGCAAGAAAGCTTCAAAGCCAAGTGCTGTGATATGAGTTGGCTGCACATAAGTGCCTATCAGAGAAGAGCTAGAGCTTGCTGCCGTTACAGGTGTTTCCCACTACCTGGCCACTGGTAATCTGTATTCATGTGTGTCTTTGGATGTACTTTCTCTAAGTTCAGAGAAGCTGAAGGCTTAAAAGCCACACTGCTAACAATAGGGCCTTCTCTCCACTGCTTGCTTTCTGCTAGCCCTTCAGCAGATATCAGCCACTTGGAGTAGGGCCTGGAATCTGATGCTGATTTGCGAGCAGCTGTGGTATAAGACTGGCCCTCAGGTGGTCAGTCAGAGCAAGGCATCGAACCTGACACGGAGCCAGGTGGTGCCGGTGCTGAACAGGGAGTGTGCTTCATCCTATTATACTCAAGGAAGATATTCTCACCTGTGNTTTTTTTTTTTTTTTTTTTTTTTTTTTTTTTTTTTTTTTTTTTTTTTTTTTTTTTTTTTTTTTTTTTTTTTTTTTTTTTTTTTTTTTTTTTTTTTTATACCTCTCAGGAGTCACTTGATTCTGGCAGAATCCCATCACTCCTCTCCACCTCCCATCATTCCATGAGCACTTACAGGAACACTGTGCTACAGGCCAGGATAAAATGGTAAATGAGGCACTGTCTCAGTCTCGCAGCGCTCACCGTCTGTGGAGGGGCAGAGAGGGAGGAAGTAGGAAGTGTCACAAGTTCCACAGCAGAGTGTAGGAAACTGGGGAAGAGGACAGCAGTTTGGCCTGGGCAGGTGGAACGTGGGAGGGGGCTTCACAGAGGAAGTGCCTTATGAAGTGAGTTAAAGGTTCCCTGAGAGGGAAGCTGCCCAGGCAGACTCAGCACAAGCAAAGCAGAGAGTATGAGAAGCAGTGGTTTGTTTCTGGCGGTGCCCCCTCTTGGTCCACACAAGACAGAATGTCTCCATGGTGCCAGAGCAGCGTGTCTGCTGAGGCATTGCAAGTGCCTTCTGTTTCTTCCCTCTCTTTGTTCTATAAGAACAGTGACCTGGGAACCCAGAGCTGCCCACGGTCAGCCTTTGAGCTGAAGTATGCTGGGACTGTGGGGTGGGGACACCCAAGTACTTTTTCTCTCAGTGCATTGACTAGGTTTCTTCTCGAAAGTTCGAGCTCGTTAGATGGCTTCGTGCAGCATAGGAAAGGGAAAGAATATCCACCTCCCTTTTCTCTCCAAAGGCTAAAGAGGGTATCTCTCTGCCTTTCTGGTAACACTAGGAGCTGCACAGGAAGCCAAATCAGCCTCCCTGGGGCAGTCATCGGCTGAGGCCATTCTGGCACCGGTCTCAGTTTCTGCAGTTATCACAGCGAGTGCAGCTTTGAGGTTTTCTCTAGAGACAGACAGAAGGTTCTGAGGCCCGATTAGGAAAACGTGTGCCAGAGCCATCAGCAGCTTCACTGGTCTGCAGTGTGGGGTTTAGAGAAAAATCTCAGTTTAAATACCAACTTTCCTTGCCAGTTGCAAGCTGGTTTAATCCCCAGTGCATGGGAATTTTAAAAAGACCAAACTTAGGATCTGGGAACTGGGATTGGCAAGCCTGTAGTTGTCAATGTTCTGATACTGGCAGGGCTGTTTTCCTCCTGGCAGGGGTTGCTCTTAGCACAGTTTCAGAGAGGGAGCCCTGCCTCTCTGTGGCGGCCTTGGGCTTGGATTCCACCAGGAGCAGCCCCACCCAGGCCTCCCTGGCTGATTGTTGTGTTCAAGTTCCATGTCCCGTGGGAGGTGCAGTGCCTCTGACTGATTAGCCATTGATCCCTTGTAAACTCTGGGTGGCCAGATTATAGAGGAGGATGTGAGGATGCCAGATCCTGTGTTGAAGAAAGGGTGCTCCCAAGCCTGGGCAGATAAGGAGCATCCAGTAAGTGCCTGTCACATGAGTAATTGTAACTATCTGGAAAGCTGACAGGAGATTTGTCTGTAGGGAAGACATTTATCCCTTGCACAGGCTCTCCCTCTGGAGCTGGGGAGTCTCAGCTGCTCCCCTCCCCCATTCTGTTCTCGTTCAGTGTTCAGTGTTCGTTGGTTAACAAGAGTGTTAACATTCCCACTGTTAGCTTTCCCTAGCAGTTTGTTTGGATTGTGCTCAGAAAAGAAGAAAGCAAATTATCTAGAAATAAGACCTGTTGGTCCTTTAGAACAGTGATTTCCAATCCAGGGGCTTTTTCAAACTACATTCCCTAACTCCCTTGATGCTGTGCTGTTGAACCTAGGCTGCTAGTGGGGTGTGCCGTGACCCTCAGGTGCACTGAGGTTGGGAGAAAGGTTTATGAACCGCAGCTTCCCTGAATTTTTCGCTTAAAAATTTATCCTTTGAAAAATTGTCATGGGATAGAGAATGAGCAGATTTATTACTAGAAGCTTTTTTCTTAGTAGTGCAAAACCACTCTCCATTTTTTGCCCCCATATATATATTGTTTCCTTAGCTGATTTTTTTTTTTTTAACCCTCACCCAAGGATATGTTTTTATTTTTAGAGAGAGAGTAATGGGGGATGGGGCAGAGAGGGAGACGAAGAGACAGAGAGAGACATCGATTAGTTACCTCCCATATGCACCCCAACCTGGGATCAAACGCACAACCATCCCTTTTCGTTTTGTTGATGGTGTCTTTTGCTCCCCCTCCTTTTTTCCTTCCCTTCTCCTCCTTTTTTTGTCTCCTATTGCTCTTCCTTTCCGTGTCCCTTCAGTGGTGTCCCCCTCGTCGCCCTTATTGGCATCTCAGAATGCACAGTTGTAAGTGGCATGGGCAGCATAGGAACCATTCCCCCAGTGGGGGAAGGGACTGTGACCTTAGAAGTCAGGTGCTGAGATATTAATTGGAATATGAAGTAGGTACCCAGGAAGTCCCAGAACCTCGAATTTCTTATCAACTCTGTAGTCCTTGAGATTTCTGAATGGTCCTTCCATCTGGAGGTCAAAAGCTTTCCCTGGCCAGTATGGCACAGTGGTTAGAGTCGGCATGCGCACTGGAGGGTTGTGGGTTCAATTTCCAGTCAAGGGGCATGTACCTGGGTTGCAGTTTTGTTCCCGCCCCCACTCATGGTGCATGCGGGAGGCAACCAGTCTATGTCTCTCTCAAATTGATGTTTCTCTCCCCCCTCCCCTTCCTCCCTTCCACTCTCTCTGAAAAGCGATGGAAAAAATATCCTCAGGGTGAGGATTAACAAAAAAAAACTGTTTTGACTAGTGCCCTGTGGTAGAGTGTCTTCACCAAAGGCTACCACCTCCCTGCAGGGACCTGCATAAGCTTTCACAGCTTAGAAGATTGACCTTCCTAGAATAATAACCCTTCAGTGCACCCCAAATGCATACGTGGCTGGGTTTGGGGGCACCATGCTATTGTGAAGAAACCAGGGCTGACCTTTGCTTACCTGCCTGCAGAGTTGGCATCTCTGGTGAGCACCGCCCACCAGCACCACCACCACCACGTTGTACTGAGGGCAAGACCAGTACTTGCTGGCCAAGGCTTGCCCACTAGCCGGAGAGAAGGGCCTAGGGGAGGAACATGAGCACACGCTAGAGCTTCAAGAGAAGTAAGTGTGAGCAGCTCTGGGAATGGGCTGGGGTGTCCAGCAGGAGGTACTTCAGATCACTTGTTGCTGTTTTCCATAGCAGAAGTTTCTCCTAACTTTTTAAAAAAAATTTATCTTTATTGTTAAAAGTATTACAGAGGCCCATCCCTTGCTGTCCAGGCTCCCACCTGTCCTTTCCCCCAGCACAACGGCCATCTGACCAAGCTGGTGCCCTCCTCAGCTCCCATCCCTTCCTCCCTTGCAGATCTATTACATGAGAGCCCACCCCTTCTGTCACCTTCCCCACCCCAGGCCACCTGCTCCCTCCTTCCCTCCCTGCCTGCCTGGCTTCTTTGGTTTTGTTTTTTGCAATGATAAAACAGTTATTTTGGCTCTCTAAAAAATGAATCCTCTCTTCCCACTCATGTGCAACTTTATGATTGGTTTTTTAGACCGACTTCCAGGAACTTATTGTAGAAGACCCTGTGGAAATGTAGAATAGTGTCAATACCCAAAGCAGCTCTTCCTTGAGAATTTCTTGGTTCCTACACTTAACGCTAGAAGTAGAGTATCTTAGAGCAAGCTCAGATAAGTGGGTATTCTAGATTTCTGTGAATTCATCATGGAAACCTTTTTCCTCCTTTTCCCTCCCCCACAGAATACTGTAGAATCATGTACATCACCATTGAGGTGTCTTTGTGTCAGCTGGGTAGATATCCTGTCCAGGTGCCTGCTGCTGTGGTTCTTAAGAAGCCTGATAAGACCAGGCATGTACCTGTTTCTGCTGGGGCTCCTGCTTGAACTGCCCTCTGCTTTCCTACCCTGGAGAGTTGGGACCTTTTTTACCCTTCGCCCATGGAACCAGAACCAGAACCAGAACCAACCTCAAAGAAACATTTCCTCCTTGCTTCCTTCCTCTGGGTCTTTCCTTTTTCTCAGAGAATAAAAGTGGGTGGGGCACGTGCAGTCTGCCCCTGTGGAGCTTTGGTCCAGATGCAGGGCCTAGGTTGGTTGTGGTGATATGCTACAATGAGAGAGAGGAATGGTCCTAGGCAAAGGTCAAGAGAAGGCAGAGAAGTGGAAGGAAGTGAAAAGGAGGTGGCATATTAGAGGCCAAAAACAAGAAAGCAAGGGGTTTTGAGGGCCGATACAGTGCAAAGTGGCAGTTATGTAGAGTGCCAGAGAGCGTGCTGAGCAGTGACACTGGAAAAGCAGACAGGACTGGATCATGAAGGGTCTCCCAGCCTGTCTGAAAGATTTAGACTGGGGGCTGTGGGAAAACTCCAGACGACTTGCAGTGGAGACGTGACTGTTCATTTTTATATTTTTCTGGATGGTCTAATGTAGCTGCAGTGAAATGATATATGGTGATGGGAACAAGAACAGAGGCAGCAACTCTGGCCCAGGGTGATGGCCAGAGACATAGTGGGGATACAGAGAGTGGCTGGACTTGGGCACTTGTGTTGGGGGTGGAATTGACAGGTGTGTGGAGCTGGTTTGCTGTGAGGAACGAGGGAGCTCAGAGTTGCGGGTCACTCCGGTTTATGTCGGACAGCTGGGCAGACAATGGCGCATTCGCTGAAATAAGGAGCCGTTTGTCAGGGAGGTAAGTTTAGTTTTAGACTAAAGTAGTTTAGGCCAAAGTAAGTTGAGAGTGCCTGAGGGCATTTAAATATGTGGACCTGAAGCCCAGATACTACGTATAAGACATTAGATTTGGGGGTCTTCTCCGTAGATGATGAGAGCCAAAGGTCAAGTCACATCCCGGAGAAACACCAACGTTGAAGGGACGGGTAGTGGAAGAGGAGTGTGTAGGGCACACAATGAGGAGTGGTCCAAGCGAGGTGGAGAGGCATGTGGGATACGCAGCAGAAGACATCAGAGTGGTGTGCTTACTGCCGTCCTGACCCTGCCCTGTCTGAGGTAGCCCCTGTTACATTCTAGACATCTCCCTATTTATTTATTTCAGATATTTACAAGATTGAAATTGTATTTGTGTGCTCTTGCCCCTCGATTTGTAGACTGAGGGCAGGGGTTTTATCTTACTGTGTGCGGTCTTCTCGGGGCCTAGGAGAGTGTTTGGCAGGTCTTCAGTAAATGCACATTTATGAGTGTTAGGAACTGAGGGATCGGCAGTGTGAGATGCTGCTGAGGAGATACGGATGAAAAAGTGCCCTTTGGGTGTAGCGGGCATGTGGGGGACTCGGGTTCAGAAGCCCAGCAGCAGTGAATTGTAGAATGGGTACAAGATGAAAGCGTGGCAAGGGTAAGACTAGACAGGTTCTTCGGGAAATTTGGCTACAATTGTGGGGAGCAGCTCCTAGAGAAGGCTGTCCTTTGGGGGGGAGGAAGTCAGGGTAAAGGAACTTTTTATTTTGTTTTTTGAAGATATGAGAGAGTTTAGCGTGTTCAGTTGCTGAATGAAAGGAGCCTATAGAAGAGATGCTGGGAAGCCGAGATGGTGTGTGGGACACCTCCTAGGAAGGCAGGGGAGGGGAGGGGGTGCAGAGCCCAGAGAGGAACTAGTCTTTAAAAGTAGGAGGGAACAGCCCATGTCCTAGAGAGAGGGGAATAATGTGGGAGGGCAGGCAAAGGTTTACTTGAGGGCAGTCAAGAGCGTTTCTTCCCGTGGCTTCTGCATTTTCCTGTGAGCTGTCAGGTGAGGCCCTTAGCTGAGAGGAAGGTAGCCATGCATGGTTCTCCCTGCTTTCCTAGGCTGATAGCGTGCCCCGCCCCTAGGCCTGCCACCTCACAGGCTGCCCAGAAGTGAGAAAAGAGGAACTTTTATAACCCTTTCAATCCTCCTACCAAAGCATCCCAGACCTCAGTCTCAGGGAAGGGGACAGTTTCCTTGGTGGCTTTATTGTGCCCTTAGCGTAGGCAGGATTCCTGCTTCTCCAGGATCGAGGAAGCAGAAGCTATCGGAAAAGACTGGAGGCCAGTAAATAGCCCTTCTGACTCCCTGCCCCCCGATGTAGGGAGAGCTCCCCACCTCTCCCTGCCAGTCGCTGTGGATGCAATTCCCTCTTTCCTCCAACAGATATTGAGGGCCAGATTTGTGCTAGGCACTACTCTAGGTGCAAGGACTAGAAAGAGAAGTGAAAATCTAATAAAAGTGACATGTGACGAATATGGAGAAAGAGCGAGCAAGGGTCGGGAGTGATGGGGAGAGCATCGGCAGTTTTTGCTGGAGTAGTCAAGGAAGGCATCACTGAGAAGGTAGTATCTGAGTAAAGCTTTGCAGGAAGTGGTCATGCTGCATCGGGGGAGAGGGTCCCATGCAGGAGGAATAGGAAGGGGAGCGTGCTTGGGGTGTTAGACAGCAAGGAGGCCGGTGCAGCTACAGTAGAGCGAGTGACTAGGAGAGGAGGAGGTGAGGGCAGGAGGTTGGGCAGGAGGCAGGTTGTGTGGGGCCTGACTGGCCTTTGGGAGGACGTTGACTTTAATTCTTTCTCTGGGGGAAGTGAGGAGTGGGCTTTGAGCAGTGACATGATCTGATCTGTTTTCACTGTGGGGAAGAGACGGAGGATGACAGTAGGGAGGCCAGAGAAGGGACATGCAGGTTCCACTTTCATTTTTTTTCTCTTTCTCTCCAAAGCAAAGAGACCCTTGTGAAGACTGTGCTGCCAGGCCTTTGAAAGACTGCCAGGCAGTGGAGCTCGGGATAGTTTGGAGGACTCTCTGTGGACTGGTCTTGGGCTGCACTGGGACAGAGCGTGGGAGAACCTCGTGGGACAGAGGCTGAGTCGGAAGTTGTTATCACGAGCCTCCCGTGCTGGCCAGCCCCCGCTGCACTGTTGTCCGAAGCACGGTGGTGCCCACCGCCCAACAGCTTCGGGTACTGGACAGACTGCCTCACCACGTGTTGAGTGGTTGTATAGTTCCATTTGCTTTCTCAGATTTGTTGTTTCTGTTACTGTTTTGATACCTGCGTTGACATTTGTTCCGGACAGCTTGAATGTACCCCTGTGGCTGCCCCTGAAAACTAAGGTGGCCTCTATTGGAGAGGATGGCATACCTCTTTGTGAAAACAAGATGTCGTTTCCTGGAAATAAAATGTATAACTTAACAGTTGCTGGGCTGGGCTTTGGTGTATTTATCTTCCTTCCCTTCCACCTCCCAGACAGTCTCACAGGTAAACACTGGCAGCTCGTAAATTGCAACGAGGAAAGCGGCTATATCAAATGATAGACTCCAACTACTGTCAGCCCAAGAAGCCAGGCCCGAGGTCATGGCCGTAGCAGGTGGGCTCTGTTAAGCCCCTGACCGTTGCGTTTCCTTTTCATTCCAGAGGGGGTCACTGCTTACCAATGGGGCTTCAGGATGGGGCGAGTTCCTTCAGCTGGGGTTTGGAAGCTGTTTCCAAGTCTATTTTACCCAATGTCAGAAAACACAGGCAATGATTTTATGTGTGTGCGTTTAAGAAAAAAACTAGTTTGATGTTTGGGAAATAGAAGCTTGGGAAACCCTGTGGTGTCCTTGGTTACCAGTGCTGAAAATGAGGGACGGTGTGGGAAGCTGAAGAGCAGGCATTAGAAACGAGCTCTCTGCTGGCATTGTGAACTGCGTGATGTCATTCAGCGAGTTGCTTCCAGGTACAAAGGTATTTTTCCTTTACCTTTTTCTGCCTGCCTTCTTTGTAGTTTTCATAAGGTTTGGAACCTACAGACCGGACAACTTTTTAGGGCTGGTAGGTTTCTTCCTTGGCTGAGTTACTGTGAATTGGGGTTCCGGCGTCCCTCGTCCCCATTTCTGCCTGTCTTGCCATGTGTGCTGATCGAATACTGCTGTGAGCAAGGAAGAAGTAAATAAACATAGAAACAAGGCTTCAGAAATATTTGTCAAAACCACATCATAAAAACCCTGGAGAAGCGGAGAGAAAAGATTACCATCTTGATGTGATAATCCCGTTTCTCCTACGCATGTGTTTTGTCTATGTGATTGCACGGGCATGTGTCCATTCTTACGTATTCTTTTTTTAAAGTTGATTTTAGAGGAAGGAGGAGAGAAAGAAATATAAGTGAGAGAGAGAAACATTCGATCTGTTGCTTCCTGTTGGAGATCGAACCGTAATCTGGGTATGTGCTCTGACTGGGAATTGAACCCACCTCCTGTGTACGGGACAACGCTCCAAACGAACTGGGCCACACTGACCAGGGCTACTTATTCGTCTTGTTAATCTTCACCCGAAGATATTTTTTCCATTAATTACTTTAGAGAGAGTGGAAGGGAGGTCCAGGAGAGACAGAGAAAGAAACATCGATGTGAGAGAGAGACATCGATTGTTTGCCTCTTGCACGCACCCCAACGGGGGGCAGGGCTCAAGCCAGCAACTGAGGTGAGTGCCCTTGACGGGAATTGAACCTGGGACCCTTCAGTCTGCGGGCTGATGCTCTAACCACTGAGCCAAACCGGGTAGGGCTAACAACTCATTTCTTAAGGTAGCTTATCATAATCACTTTTAGAAGAGTACAGATACTTTTTTTTTTAATTTTTATAAGAGTTTCTTTAAGCCAAACTGACCAATTATGCTGGGGAGCAAGAGCTCAGATGCTCCGCAGATACACATTTTTTGAATTGGTAATACGGTCACATGGTTTGAAATCGAAAAATACAAGAGGACCTAAAATGAAAAGCCCTTCAGCCTCGCCCCCAGTGGCCACTTCCTGCACAGAGGCAACAAGCCTTACCAGCTCCCTGTGTGTCCTTCTAGAGACCTCTCTCTAAGCAGATACGCTTGTGTGGTCTTTTCCTTTCTTCTGCACAGCTGATAATAAACTACACACTGTTCTGCACCTTGCTTTTAATTCTGGTTCCATGTCAGTACTTAAGGCACTTCCTCTGTCTTTGTTACAGCTGCCAATCATTCCATTGTGTGTTTGCACCGTAATTTGTTTTTCCAGTCTGTGATCCTGGTTGCTTCAAACACTTTACTCTTTTTTTTCATACAGCTCCCAAAGAAAGTTCTATTAAATAAATCTCAGAATATATCCTTTTAAGTAAAACAATTTAAAAAATGACAACAAATTATACAGAACTCATAAAGTGAAGAAGGAAAATCTGGAAATCCACATACTGGGAGCTCTCTATTAAAATCAAGGAGCCTCAAATCTGTTTCTTTAAAAAAAGGTATAGGTGCCCTGGCCAGTGTGACTCGGTTGAGCATCATCTCATGCACCTAAAGGTTGCCGGTTCGATTCCCAGTCAGGGCACATACCCAGGTTGCAGGTTTGGTGGCAACCAATCATTATTTCTCCTCTCCCTTTCCCTTCCTCTCTAAAATCAATTTTTAAAAAATTTTAAAAATCAAGGAGCCTCAAATCTGTTCCTTTAAAAAAAAAGCTAAGGATATAACTTTTTCTAAATGTTTTGTTAGTAATAGTCTTGTAAGTCTGGTTCGGTAATAATCTATAATGTAACTGTTTCCACCTGAAGGCCCAACAATTTTCACTGAAATAAGGATGAATTCAGTTAGGCTCCCAATTCGACAAAACCCAGAGTGTCCAGGTAAAATCGATCTGCTCCCAGCCATCCAAGAAAAGGACTGTGGCCACCACTTTGTAAATAGCCATTTATTTTTTGACAAGATAAGGGCTTGAGAAAATTAACTTCAAAATATGTTTCACTGCCACTGACATTCCTTACAAGTTATGTTGGGTGCTAGAAAACAGAGCTGTGAAAACTTGAACTCTATTTATAAAGTTAATTGGTTCTTGTGTATCATTGTTTATTCTTTAAATATTTACATACATGTTATTCCACTTTGAGTCCTCACACTTGTTTCCTTGCCCCCAGTGGTGGTGGCTGCAACCCTCCAAGGTCCCAAGGTGACTGACACAAAACACAGGACACTTATATTGCATTCCACTGTTTACGAAACAGTGCTGCAATGAACACTCTTATACATACGTCATTTGAGGAAAGATCCTCCAAGAAGAAACACCTCGACTCAGAGCCTGAATGCCTTCTGCAGAGGCTGACCTCAGGCTGCCCATTCTCTCCCTGGGCGGCTGGACAGTGACTTGCAACCTCTCCCTTCAGAACACATTCCTCTCAAGTATGCCACACAGTTTAAGAAAGTGAGCTCTCAAATACAGGCTTTTTAGAAAAAGAAAACATTTAAAATTCAAACTGCTGGGGTTTGTATCCCAGCCCTGTGTGACATTGGGCAAGTTACTCAACCTCTCTGAGTCTCAGTTTCTTTATTTCAAAAGTACCCTGATGTGCTGTTGTGAAGGCCTAAATAATTTTTCCAGTTACTGCACTGCTCACAAAAACCTGAGTGTTCTCTTTTTTAAAAGGCACAAACCAAAAATTAACCCAAACTTATGCATTATTTCTTTGAGCTACAGTATTTTCTTTCCCTGGAGAGATTTCTGATATTAAACAGCATCTACATTTTGCTTGCCTAGAAAAATACATGGTAACTTTTCTGCCTTGCAGCACCGAACCACAGTGTAGCTGAGCCCCACCACTGTGCAGATGGGCTCTAATTAGAGGCATGTTCTCTACCACAGGGCTCTGAGAAACTGGGTAAAGAGGGTTTGTTTCAGATTCTGGCTTTATTAAGCAGATGAATGCAGCCAGCCAGCTCTGTGAAGCGCTTTGCAGTGAGTGGCAGGTGTCCCATATCCATCTGATTACGTTAACCTAGAAAGGGCTCGCTCTGCCTCTGGGCGAGCTTCATCCCAGCAATCAGACTCTGCCAGGGCAGGGACTTTGCCCTTTGTGGGTTGGGTAGCTGGATACCCGTCCTCTCTTCCTCTGATTGGAAGCTGCTGTTTTTTATAGAAAGACCTAAATCCCCTCATTATCTCCAGCCCTTCCCTCTCACTGCTTTTCCCTCCTGTGTGAACACTGATTCAGGCAGTCGCCGAGGCTGCAAGAGTGCCTGGGATGGGCAGCTCTCTCCAACTGCTTCTTCCCTTTTCACAGCCTGACCGTAGAGAACTTTCCCACCTCTTATCTAAGGATAACCTAGGAACGCTGGTGCTCTAGGTTTAAGAGAAGGAGCTTGCACTGTGGTCCTAACCTAAGAAGATTAGGAAAACCTGGAATTACTGTCCTTTGCCCAGAAATACAGGCTTGCTAGCAGGTGCAGGGCCTGACTTGAGCAGCTTGCTGCCATTGGTTACAGTAGCCCAAGGGCTTGTTTTCCTGAACACCAGGTAGCTTCTTTCAAAGAAAGAAAACTTCCCACGTGGTCAACTCTTTCTGATTTTTTCCATAAATGGGAATTGAGGCAACAGGAGTAGGGGCTTCTGGGGAGAAGATGGGGCCTTGTGTTGATGGAAATAACGAACTGCTTTGTGCTGCAGATTCTGCAGTTTATTTTTGCTTTGATATATTTATTTACATTTGATTCTGCAGTTTAGAAGAGCATATGAATCCTAAGAAAGGGCTGGACCTGTAGTAAGTGCTCAATAAATACTGCGATGTAATTCCTTTGTCTGCAGCATCCCCAAACAGTACCCACCATTTATTTGAGTTCATTAATCTCCAAGCAGTATTTCCTGCTTGCTGTTGCTTTTGCAAGGTCTAACCCAGATTCCCACCTCAGATCCGATTTCCAGACCCACTGTCCCTGCTGTCCACTTCCCTTCAGGTCTGTGAATAATCTGGTGTGAAATTTTTGTCATACAGTGGCCAAATTCTAAATTCTGGATGTTTCCAATAAATTCAACTCA